GATGACTTAAACCAGACCCTGTATGGAGTGTCTCATAATCACAACTATTTCTTTAAAACCACTGATTCGCTGCTTGAAAGATGGATCCAGATAAGAGAAGAGGATTGGATGGAAGCGAGGGATAATCTTTCAGTGATTTTACCCAATGAACTGCCAGTATTGCCTGTCACAGACAATAAAGATGAACCAATAGCAGAACTGACGWGGGCAGACAGTAATGGAAACTTTTGGGGAGGTAAAAAAGCCAACAGTCAGGCACACGACAGTCAGACAGACAGGATAGACAGACAGAAAGGTAGATAGGTACACAGATAAAAAGACAGACAGACAGCAACACCCATAGTAGTGTCAGACAGACTTTTCCCAAATTTGCTTGGCCGAGTGACCACCAAACCAAGCGTAACAATGGCTTCAAGTCGAGGTTGGATTTGATTTGCTAATACATTTACTAATACAGTCCGACCTCGACTTAGAGCCATTGTTTTGAGTTCACACACTCGAGTTCATTCGGGAAAGGTTTATTTAGAACTAAACTAGCCATTTCACGGCATTTCTTGATAATCCCTCATATAAAGATACACCTACTYGCAAGAACGTTGTTATACGAAAATAGAACATTAGTGATTTAGTGGGATAGGAATTATATTAAAAAACAAAAGAAGATCACTGAAGCTGAACTTTTTCTATCGTCTTTTAATGTGTACCTTTATCATTAAATTACTAATGTTCTATTCTTGTATCACAACCTTCTTGCAAGTAGGTGTATATAATTTTCTACCATTGAAATATTTAAATTACAGATAAAGGAGGTTGAAGAGCATAGGGCGCGGAGTGGTTTGAAAAGGAGGGGGGAGGGGGTGCCCGATCGGGATGGTCTGGGTTTCAACGAAAACATTCTCCTTCCTTATAATAAACTCTAATGATCAAATGCGTACTTACTTTCAGTTTCAGTCAAAAGAACGAATATAGAACCTGCATAGATCATTCAATTTGATGGCCTAATTCACTGCGTATTTTGTCCATGTAATGCATTATCCTAATTAGAGAGGAGTGCGGGACATCCCACTTTGAAAAAAAGTCAACCCCAGCTCCATAGCTCTGAGTAAAAAGGTATATTCTCTCAAACAAACACTAATCCAAGGTTTGGTTTTAYGTGATTTACAGCATCTTCAGACGGCATTTATCATAAAATACCAAGTGGAAGCTGGAAGCCTGTCGCGGTGTGGCACAGGATAGGTAAGCAAAATACCATATAATGTCGAGTTCTTTGAAGCTCTTGACAACACACACTCTTTGAAGCTCTTGACAACACACACTCTTTGAAGCTCTTGACAACACACACTCNTCTTTGAAGCTCTTGACAACACACACTCTTTGAAGCTCTTGACAACACACACTCTTTGAAGCTCTTGACAACACACACTCATAGTGAACGAATCTCCTTTATGATTTCTATCGAAAATGACTGAGAATCTTCCCTCATGTAATCAGTAATGGAAGGTATTTATATAATGGGAGGTTCTTATATAACGTATTCCACATTGTCTAAATGGGCTTTACATCTGTGATCAGCGGAGGACTTTACGGGCTCCATATTAAAGCGCTATTAGCAGCCAGCTTACAATCCGTGAGTGATTTGTTAGTACATTAGTGTTATGCCTCCAAACTGGGATAGCCTGTTGAACCGGGAGACAATCCCCTACTCTTACACGAAAAAGCATTACTGCCTCGGGCAAATAAAACTACATAGTAGATCACCAATCCACCGAGGCTGAAATTATCARTGATCATAGTATTAAAGTAAGGAGTAATATATAGAATCAGTCACTTTTCCATTGTGGAATTAATCTTGGAATTTATGTTGTTGTTGTTGTTTTTTTTTTTGTTTTTTGTTTGCAGACGTCAACGAGTGTGGATCATCTCCTTGTCTCAACGGTGAATGTATTGAACAAAGTTCTTCGTACAAGTGCGAATGTCTAGTTGGATTCAATGGGACTCATTGCGAAAACAGTAAGTTAGAACACGTACATTAAATCATATTTTACAAAACGCGCGCACGTGTCTCTTTACTGCGATATAAACACGCTGGGAGCGGAGCTGTAAGTCGCAAAAGCGTAATAGAGCCGTTTGATGTAAAAGTGAAATAGGGCAATTTTTTTGTTTCCAGTGCTGTATTCTTACACTTCTATACAAGGTTGATGAGCGTGTGGATGACGTAAGCACCGAGCTCCGTTCCTATATACAGCACATGTACAATTCTCGACCAATTAGAGCGCGCGTAGTRAGATGACTATATAATAACAAGCAATATTATCAGGCCTAGAATCAAACTTATTCAAAAACGTACTGTTGATAGTACTTACCAAGCCTCCGCTCGGACACAAACCCATGAACACACCTCGAGGCAAAGTCCACTTCCGGTTAGGTTCAGCCATTGGTTACCAACAATTACGATCCCAAATTAACTTTTACTAATGATTGTTTACACCAGACATGGATGACTGCCTACCCGATTCTTGTGAAAATGGAGGAACTTGTATCGATGGCGTTAATAACTTTACTTGCTTGTGTATGCAAGGCATTTATGGACGATATTGTGAAGAAGGCAAGTGCTTTCTTAGCTAAAATATAAGAGATAAGATTGGATCATATCATATCATTGCAGTGCAGTGCATGATGTCACAGTTGTATAATAATGTTCAATGTTTAACCACCGTTTCTGTATACATTCAACAGTAATATCGATATGCTCGGACGAGGAACCCTGCAAAAATAATGGGACGTGCATTGATGGGCTTGGGAACTACACCTGTGACTGCCCGACAGGAATGCTGGGCTACACGTGCGAAATCAGTAAGCAAATAAGAATTCTAATTAAAGTAGCAGATCACGTGCGAATCAAAATAAGAACAGAAAAAATCCTTTAAATTGCTCGATTCGTTGCAACAACATCTGGGGTTTTCCAAGGACTCTTTTTACCTTTTTACCTTGGGCGTAATATTTTCACATTCAGACCATGTGGCATTCCTTTGAGAATGAGATTCTTCGTTTGAGTTGTATACACACTCATGTGTCTTCTCGTGTGCAACCGTGAAACAAAGAAATGATACTCTTGAGAATGACACGTGGTCTGAAATGGGAAAACACTAATACGCCCAAGCTAAAAAGGTCTTTTCACAAATCGTATTAGAATTTGGTGTTTTTGTGGAGAGAGGAAAACCAGAGAACCCGAAGAAAGCCCTTTGAGTCAAGGAACACACCCAAAAAACTCTACTCACATAAGATGCTGAGTTCAGGAATGAAACCCKAGACCCAAGAGGTGAAAGGCGAGAGTACTACCACAACACCACCATTGATTCCACAAGAGTATTGATCTATGAATTACCTCAGTAATGTTGATCTCGACTTGGTTTTTGTTTTTCCCCCAGATTTTGACGACTGTTATAGTCAGCCTTGTTTGAACGGAGGGCAGTGTGTTGATGGCAATAATGACTACTTCTGCGCATGCCCAGACGGCTTCGATGGAAAAAATTGCGGTGAGTACAAAGCTTCCTGCAAAGGTTCTGAAAGACTTGTGTTTTGTTCATGTGTTAATCCTTATCCACCACGAATATTTCTAATGGATAGAAAAAGTCGTGCCTGATTACAGGACTGTACTAACAGATTTGGTTTTATGTTTGAAAAGCTATTATACTATCATRAAACATTGCATATTTTAGTACTCTTGTAAATTCGCTGGTAATTTCTTAGTTAAGATGATGATGATGACGACGACGATGATACCTGATGACGATGATGATCACATACATGATGATGATAATGTTGATGACGACGATAGTGATGATAATAATGACGATGATGATGATTATGACGGTGATCATATACATGATGACGATAAAGTTGATGACGATGATGATGATATGATGATGCTGATATATGATGATGATAATGATGATGATATGATGATGGTGATGATGATGATGATAATGATGATGATAATGATGATGATATGATGGTGATGATGATGATGATGATGATATGATGATGATGATGCTGATGATGATGATGATAATGATGATGTTAAAACAATGTTCTCCACAGAGAAAGGTAGAGGATTTAAAGTGATTACAACAGCAACAACAACGTACAAAAATGTCGAATTCCTAGTCATCCATGCAACCATCGAATCGAGTGGAAGGTCTTTTAACAGTAGTTGGTGTGAAGACTACAAGATGCTGTGCAAGGCCTACACAGCTAGACCCGTAGGTCAGTTCCACAAATCACGTGATGACAGCCATGACAGGAGGCAGGAACAATAGACCATTTTCTCAAGATTGCGTGCGCATCCAACTTGATGGGCCAAAAAATTTTAAAAACGCAAATTCAGTAAAATAGAACTATCCCGAATTCGCTTGACTGGTGACGAAACAATGGTTTCAAGTCGAGGTTGAACTTGATGAATAAAAGAATCAAGTTCAGTCTCAACTTCAAACCATTGTTTCTTGGTCAGTCAAGCGAATTCGGGATATAATAGGTCTATTGAAGACGGTTTGATATTTAAAGAGGAGAATTAACAAACGATTTTATGAATTCTTTTCAAAAAATCTCATAGAGATGTATGATAATTCTCATTATAAAGCTCCTGTTCTGGTATCGTGGCGCGTCAAGTTTCTCAAATTTGGATGAGCGGCCAACCATGAAAAAAAGGTCGAATCTGCTCTAATCTGATTTACATGAAAAAKAATTCAGTTTCCCAGGATCGAGAGACTCATTGTTRTGCCTCCTGTCATGGCTGCCAACATGTGATGGTGCAAAGCAAGCCTCTATTGGTTTTACTTCTTCTTATAAACGTCTAGTGATGGGAAAGCGAGAAGAAAGAATTTTGAAATATCACTGCGATAACTAAATCAACGCGAGACGAATTGAAGTGAATATTAGAACATTGGAAAGGAATTTTTCTGATCAGTCGCGTGATTCACTTGGATATATCTCCAGTTAATAAATTCCAAATTCCAACCGTTTCTATTTCAGGTTGTGGACGATCTTTCAGGAACGATACAAGAATCACAAAGTGCCGCGACGACTTTGATGCTCTCATGATTACCGGCGACCCTATTGGCTGTCAGTCAAGTGACACGGTAGCCACAGTGTCACGGCAAGCCGGATTCAATTCAGCCTTCTCAAACAATTCGTTCGCTTTTGGTTCATGCGATGGTGTATGTCCATACCAGTTAGACGAAAATTCTTGTCCAGAATCGTTGCCTTGCCTAAAATTAAATGCGGATCAAAACGTTTTTACCGTGTGCTCGAAGAAAAGCGACAGCAGTTTTGTTGTCCACGAACACAGGGATATATTCCACGAAAACACGACTTACAAGATCTTGAAATTGGATATTGTTGCCACTCGATATTCGTATCACRAAAACTGGTGTCGGGATTATCAGAAACTGTGTGAATCTTATGGACTGCGTCCTGTAGCATTCAACCAATATTATGAGTACCAAACCCATTATGGTACTCCCGGAAAGACCTATCACGCCGTCGTACAGAAGAACCTTTACTTTTCAAATACAGCATCAAACATTCTTTATAAGCTTGCAAAGGTAGTAGGTTTTCCGGAGGCAATTTCCTCAAACACCTTTGCAATTTATCGAACCGAGGACAGTTACTCGTGCGCTAATTATGTACCTAGTTCGGGCTCGATTAATAATAATTTATACTTATTTTACGACTCGCGTCGTTCACAAATGTACACGGCTTGTACTGATGGTGCTTCTACAAGCGCATTCAAAGTCCTTGAGACACGCGAGATAACTCATCAGGGTATTGACTTTTTGGCCCTGCAGGTTAAGATACCTCGACAAGTTAAGAAAGACTGGTGTAGAGAATATCAAAGCCTCTGTRAATCCTTCAACAAGCAGCCAATTGGATGTAGTGTGACGTATCAGTTCGAAGAAAATAGTCTTTGTCGAGATGAGTACCGTGCAATGACACCACGAGCAGATATTCTCGGTTGCCCTTCACATGCTAAAGCAGCAGCCGTGGTGAACATGGCTGGGTTCTCCGAAGCCGACGTTAAGAATACATTTGTGTTTCATGAGTGTGATCAGTGTATTTCAAAGGATCCAGTGTGCAGCTCTGATTTTGCTGACGTTGCTTGCTTGGATAGGAATTTGTCGGACAGTATAGCATACACGTTATGTGCTGAACCAGAGGGCGCTTTTTCTGTCTTGAGTAAGACTTGGACTACTTTCCAGAACCTGCCTTACCTTGCGTTACATGTAAGAGTTCCCAAAGACGGGCGTTCTAAGTTCAACAACTGGTGTACGGAGTATAAAGAGTTGTGTGGCCTTTATGGGTTAAAGCCTACTGGTTGTGGTACTGCCTATACGTCAGCAGAATACATTGATTGCGAAACAACTTACTCGTCCTCTCGTCCAAGCAATAATGATCTCTCGTGCGATCCATCATCAATGGTACAACAGATAGTCTATGACGCTGGTTATCATCAAGCAAGTACTTCGTACTCATTTGGCTTTTACCGGTGTTCRTCRTATTGTACAAACACTCTGTCGTCGTCTTGTTCTACACCCTTGTACTGTCTTCGAAATARTCATGTCAAGAAAGAGGCATACACCGTGTGTCKAGGTCCAAGACAAGTGTTCGGGGGCATTAMTCGGATAGTTAAAACGACTTACAATGGACAACAATATCATGTAATTCAGTTGAAACTTCCTCAAGACGGCAAGTCMAAGCACAAAAACTGGTGTAAGGAGTACCAAATGGTATGTAARAGTTATGGACTGAGGCCGACAGGGTGTGGAAGAAGCCGACTGAAGGACGCGGGTCTRCGWGCTTGCCGTGATCAGTACGACTCAGTGATGACTGATGACMAGCTTGGCTGCGACCCGCGGGATGTCGTTTCTCGGATAGCAGTTCATGCCGGTTTAACGGATGCCACGATTCAAAACTCTTTTGCCTTTTATAATTGTTCTGATTGCCCTAGGATATTACCTTCTTCTGGATGCACAGGAGGTGTGTACTGCCTGAACCGTAACATTGCAGGAGGGACAGTCTATACCGTATGCACAGATTCAGATAGTAATTTTATTGTTCATGATACCAAAGAGCATGTCTCACAGGGGACCAACTTCCTTGTAGTCAAAGCGGAGGTGCCGGCTGCGCTCACTTCTCAAGCTTCCAACTGGTGTCTGGACTATCAGAAGCTTTGCCGTTCATACGGTCGATTACCAACAGGAATATCTGGGGAACACAATCACAATCCAGAGGCGACAGGTTGTAAAAGCTATTATGGATCAGTTATGCTCGAAGAAAGCTCGAACATTCCWTGGACCCCGGCCTCACAAATAAATAGCATCATCCTTAAATCAAAGATTCGCACATACACTACTTCCAGCAGGAGTTTTGGTTTYGGTCAATGTCCAAGCCCAACAACTTGTCCAAGCACAATAACGTCTTCCTGTTTCAATGACTTATATTGCTTTGTAACAAACACTAAGAGAATGACACATGCTTTGTGCACAGATCCTGATAGTAATTTTCGACTCATCGATGATAGAGAGTACAAATATTTAGGTCGCAACTACACAGTGATTCACGCCTCGGTGCTAGATGACGGTACTTCAAAACATGACACGTGGTGTCATGACTACCAGCGTCTTTGTGAGTCGTTCGTGAAGCTTCCTCTAACGTGCGGTTCTGACTCATGGAAAAAGAGAGACTTTTATCAATGCAGAGATGAATATGGCGCTGCAATCTTTGAAGAAAATCCTGTTAGATGTGATTCAAATGATGACGCAGTTAGCATTGCAAGAGGTGCTGGTTTTACTGAAGCAACGAACTTTAACACTATAACGTTCCACAACTGCAGTTTGTGTTCTAAATACCTCAGCGAGAAACCCGATGAAGCTGTTTATCCACTGCGTAAAGGAATTAAGGAAATCTACGCACTGTGTACAGATTCAAACAGCAATTTTGAAGTCCTTAAATCAAGTGCGACTGAATATAACGGAGTTCCTTATACAGCTTTGCAGCTAAGAACCCCAGTWAATGGATTATCAAGGCATGAGAATTGGTGCAGGGACTATGAACGCTTGTGTGCTACATTTGGACAGCAGCCTACCGGTTGCGGCGAGACATACAAAACGCAAAGCGGCTATGGTGAATGCGGCACTATTTACAATTCCTCCATGCCTTGGAATAACCATTTTGGTTGCATGCCAAACTCCAATATGCAGAAAGCTATTTATAAGGWTTTCAAATCAGCCAGCACGACAAACACGTTTGGATTTTATTACTGTGACGGAGCTGGATGCCCAAACCTGTTTCCAAGCTCGGGTACAATTAACGGTATTTACGGGGCTCGAAAAAGTGACTCGGCGTACCTTAAACAYTCGCTCTGCGTAGATAGAAAACCGGGCTTCCATTACATTAGCCAAAAAATATATATTCGAGAAGATACCAACTATCTTATTGTTAAGGCGGTATTACCTTCTACGGGGAAATCTCAGTATGAGAATTGGTGTCGTGACTACGAGAAACTATGTGCAATGTTTTCTCGAAGGCCGCTTGCCTGTGGAACTGAAAAATTACTAGAACACAAACATCGTTCATGTAGGACCCGCTACAACGCTGTCATGCCGTCTGATGGCTACACTGGGTGTGGTCCAAATGTTACTCTTCTGGCGCAAATGGCCGTGACTGCAGGATATACAGATGCAATCACTACAAACGTGTTTGCAATGAGATCTTGTGACTCCTGTGGTGATAGCATTCCTGYGTCAGGGGCAAACGAACATCTTCATAGCATCAAYATGCAAGTRMAAAACCGAGAAGTATATGCCTTCTGTGTTCACTCAGACAGTAATTTCCAGGTATTGAAGACAAAGTYGGTAGTGTTCCGGTCTTGGAGGTACTTGGCTGTTAAAGTTAAAATTCCTTCAAATTCAAGATCTCAGCACGAAACTTGGTGCCGGGATTATCAGCGCATGTGCGAATCCTTTGGTAAACGACCTGTGGCTTCTTATTCTGTAGACGAAAAGACGGAAGCCAGACTTGATTGTAGACTGTCTTATAATGCTTATCAACCCGATTCCACCCAAGCCTGGAGTTCTGACACTTACCCTTACGTCTATGAAATGAACTTGAAGGCAAAATTTGGCAGCACAATTTCATACCAGGCATTCTCATTTTATGCCTGTACCTCTTACTGCTCTAAAACAATGAGTACAAGTGGATGTCAGAGTTCAATTCGATGCCTAGCACACAACCATTTGATAAATAAAGAAGCCTACACACTTTGTGCAGATCCAGACAGTGGATTTGAAGTTGTTTTCAACAAAACAACGATTATGAATGGGACAGAATATTTGGTAATTGGGGCAAACGTACCACTTTATGGTCGATCTCGATACGAGAACTGGTGCCGAGACTACCAGAAATTATGTCAGACCTATGGGAGAAGACCGCTGGCTTGTGGAAACAGTTATCGACATGACAGCCAATACACAAGATGTCGAGATGAATACAATGGACTGATGTTTCACGACGATATTTCACTCTGCAATCAAAACGAAAGAGTCATGACAATTGCCAGGCATGCTGGATTTACCAATGCAAACGAAAACAATTCATTTGCGTTTCATGCGTGTGAACAAAGCGATTGCCCGCAGTCATTTGGACAGAGATTTACCCSGTCGTTCTATTCTGCCGGAGAGAACCCAAATGATCGACAGGTGTATACGGTGTGTGTCAACGCAGACAGCAATTTAGACATCATATTTGCAAAGCCCCAAATCTATTCAAGTGAAGATTTTCTGGTCATTAAGGCCAGATTACCTGGTAATGGTCAATCAAAGTACGAAAACTGGTGTCGTGACTACGAAAGGCTGTGTGATTCATATGGAATGCGACCGACAGGAGCTGACATGCGTTACTTGGCAAAGTCAGCAAATACACTTTGCAGAGACAAATATCGGTCTGTCATGTTAACCACAAGTTTGATTGCCAGTCCTCCAAATACCCAGGCAGACACAATCACGTCTTATCGTACTGATACAGCCGCTGCGTCTAATTCATTTGCATTTGATATATGTCGTGATGAAGATTGCACAAAAACGCTGCCGCAATCCACATGTAGTTCTTCTTTGCGCTGTATTTATCAGACGGTACCTAAAAAGTACGCTCACACTATGTGCGTTGAGCCACTAACAAATTTCAAGGTACTGGATCACAGAGAAGTCAGATACTTGAGCCGAAGTTTCCTAGCCATAAAAGCAACGATAAAAAACACAAATGCTACATCAAAAAACGCCAACTGGTGCTTAGATTACAAAATACTTTGCGAGTCGTACGGAAAAAGGCCATTGGCCTGCCCAAACTCGTACGCATCTGGTCATCAGTATTACCGCTGYCAAGAAGAATTCAACGCTGTRTTGATGGAATCAAGTGAGTGTCCTCTTAACAGCTTCGTATCAGATATTGCCAATWCTGCTGGGTTTACTCATGCAACTCCAAGTAATTCCTTTGCCTTTCGTAGCTGCAACGAAAGTGCTTGTGTAAAACACTTAAATGATTCCGGTTGCGACAACTCCCTCTACTGCATMAGCAGGAGAGTACCCAATCGAGAGGTTTATACCGTATGTRCCAACAGTGATTCCAGCTTTGAAGTTATCGATGCTAGATCAGTTGTTCATAGCAGCATTAACTACGTCGCGATCAAGGCACGCCTTCCAAGCCACGGAAAGCCAATGCATGAGAATTGGTGCAAGGATTATCAAGTACTTTGCGAGTCCTACGATGCACGACCAACTGGATGCGGAGAAGCYAACATAAACCACCCTGATTATGGCCGGTGTGCGTCGAAGTACCACAGCAATATGCCTGGAAATAACTATTTTGCATGTACTTCGACCACAAATATCAAAGYAATTGCTAACTCGGCAGGCTTCGCCGAAGCAACCGAARCAAATTCATTTGCTTTTCAAAACTGCTCTGATGCAGCATGTAATCGCGATTTGCTTATTTCKGATTGTCATGGATCATTGCATTGCCTCAATGCAAGCCTTCTTAATCAGGAAGTCTTTACCGTGTGTCGTAGACTCTACGAGTCAAACTTCAAGGTGCTGCAAGTAAAAGATACAGTTTACCAAGGAGTTGCATACAAAGCTATAAAAGCTAGGCTTCCCTCAAGTAGGTCTTCTCGCAGTAGTGACTGGTGTCTAGATTACAAAATCTTATGCAACTCGTACGGTCAAAGTCCAACTGGCTGCGGCGAAAAGCACTCTGGAGATTCGGTCTATTCAAGCTGTGCATCTCAATATGGATCTGTCATGTTACCTGGCAATAATCTTGACTGCGACCCTCGWGTTATGGTGTCCATAGTTGCAAAAGCAGCAGGGTTCTATAATGCCTCCTATGAGAATTCCTTTGCGTTCCACCGCTGTACCGGGTACTGCTCCTCTTCAATTCCGACAACCGGCTGTTCGCCATCTCTTTCGTGCGCTAATGCTCAAGCAGCAAGGCATCTCGAAGTCTATACCCTATGTACCAACTCTTCTCATAGTAAMTTTGAAGTTATGGACAGCAGACAAGTGGAGCACRATGGAATGCGTTACACGGCTCTAAAAACCCGCATTCCTCAAAATGGTATCTCACTCAACGAAAACTGGTGCCGGGACTACCAAAGACTGTGTGATCAGTACGGAGGACGTCCCACGGGCTGTGGAGAAGCTAGCAAAACAAACAGCAACTGCTCGCTTTGTAGCACAATGTACGATTCTTTCATGCCTTCGAGTGATTTTCTGGGATGCAATTTGACGAATAATGCTGCAGCAATTATCACTAAGTCAGGACTTAAAGGCGCTGCTCTGGAAAACACTTTTATTTTTCATCAATGCGATAACTCTAGTTGCACCAAAGAGCTACCACATCGTGAATGCAGCAACTCGYTGAATTGCATTAGCAAAAATGTTTTGGCTGGAGAGGTTTACACACTATGCCTCGATAAGAACCAGCGACACAATTTTGAGGTCGTGAATTCCAACTCGACGTCTTACAATGGAATAGAGTATCGGGTGATTGAAGTTAGGATACCAGAGAATGGCAGATCAAAATGTGAAGATTGGTGCCGTGATTATCAGAGTCTTTGCGAGTCATTTGGAATGAGACCAACTGGTTGCCAAACAAGTAGCTCTGGKTTTCCCGGTAGATGTGAAAGATACAATTCCTTGATCATTCAAAAGAACGAACCTTGCTTGGCGACAGGATTCGCTAAGGTTATCGCAAATGCTGCAGGATTTTCTCGAGCCAATTTAACCAACACAATAGCATTTGATGACTGTAGTCCTAGCAAGTGTCCAACAAGACTAGATRGTCCAGACTGCGCCGAAAGAGCCAACCCATTCTGCAATCTTCGCAACACTTCACAGAGTTTTGGCTACGCAATATGCGTCAAAGCGAACTATACCTTGCAAGTACAAGAAACAAGGAATATTGCCCATGATGGTGTTACATACAAGATAATTCGAGCACATCTTCCTCAAAATAAGAAGAAGGTCAACTGGTGCTTGGAGTATCAACACGTTTGTGAGTCGTATGGACAGCGCCCTGTGCTTCGTATAGAAGATGCATACAGGACTCAGGGTGCTTTAACGTGTCGCGACCAGTATAATTCCATTTCAATCAACGCCACCAATGAAACCCATGTCTCAGTATTGGCAACTGTAGCTGGATTCAACAATGCTACGCGTCTCAATTCGTTCGCATTTTCACGCTGTTCAACCGCGTTTTGCAGTGCTTCACTTATCAATGAAACATGTGGATCAACTTTTGATTGCGTTAACAATAACAACGCRTCTACCGCAGAATATTTTCATCTTGCCTGYATCAAGGAGTTGCCTGTAAGCAATTTTGAAGTCTTGAGCACTAAGCAAGTGAAGTATAATCAAGATATGTACTTGGTCATTGAAGCTCGACTTCCTTCCGACGRAAAATCGAAGTACGAAAATTGGTGCCGAGACTATCAAAAACTATGCGAGAACTACGCTCTGCGTCCATTAGGCTGCGGCCGTGATAGATACCAAAGTGATCATGAGATGGCTTTATGTTTGGCAAGGTATGGTGCCGTGATGCCACTTGACACATCCCTCGAGTGTCCCGTGAGACAACGAGTTAAACTACTTGCTCAAAAAGCAGGATTTGGAAACGCTAYTTTAGAAAACTCATTTGCTCTTCACAGATGTACTGAGTGTACAAGATTTTTGAACAGCTCGCTCAACAAAGGTGTGTATCCCCTATCGAAGGATCTTCATGGTGGAGTAGTATATACCCTCTGCACAAGAGATCAAAGTAGCAATTTCGAAGTTGTAGAGACACGAATTACCCGTTTCGAGAACAAAGAATTCCTTGTGATTCAAGCTCGACTCCCCAGATTTGTCGGCAAATCGAAACAAGTGGATTGGTGTAAAGATTATCAAATGCTCTGTGAATCATTCGGCCGCCGTCCCGTTGGTCGTGCTTATTTATCCGAGACTTATGGTGTTAGCCTTTGTTCCAAGCTTTACAATTCCTTTATGCTCGTCAACGCTGAACTGCCATCGAATATTCCAAGCGGGGTGAGTCAAATAGCGCTTCAAGCAGGATTTTGGCGAGCCACAACTGTTAACTCGTTCGCTTTTGAGAACTGTAAAGATTGCTCCCAGTACCTCCTTTCCACTTGCAGTTCCACAGTTGGTATGAATTGCTTGACAGACAGAGAATTTGAGGTTTACACCGTGTGTGTGTAGGCTTTAGTTGTTAGAAACTTTATCAAGACTTTTAAACAGGTACTCAGAGCAGAGTAGAATTTCAATGGGGTACCAAAGACCCATCACGCCATGCCTTAATGGCTGTATACAGGGTATAGAGGCTTTGCACCATYAGGTGATGCCAGCCATGACAAGAGGAATGATCAATCGAATCTAGTCTTATCTGATTTACATTAGAAATTATTCAGTTTCCCAGGGGAAAAGACTTGTTGTACCTCCTGTCATGGCTGCCATCACGTGATGGTACGAAGCCTCTATTTCTTAAAATTAAAAATTTTATTGGGGTGGAATGGATGGACACAAAGCGACAGATACGATATCCTCTGCGGTTCCCGTTTCCTAAGCACATATGTAATAACATACCCCAGTAGGCGAAGCGCATTGGCCATCTTCGGAATATTGCAGCATGATCGTGGAAATCAAATCTGAAAAATAAGAACCATATGGCAACGTTTATTGAACATGTTGTGTATTTTGGTCTAGCTCCGGTACGAACATCTTTGCTTATCATATACAGTCAATGTCATTGTCCACCGAAAAAAGACATTTACACATTTACACATTTACACAT